GAATATATCAGAATATATCAGAATTTAACCACTATTGTCTATATTGATCTAATCACTCTACTCATTTATTTAAGATTTATTCACTTAAAGGAGAGGCAGGAGAGAGAAATGGGGCTACAGGAGATTTTCCATCCACTGGTTCATTCCCAAAATGGCCATAGTGGCCAGGCTGTTGCCAGCTGAAACCAGGTGCCTGAAGGGCCCTTGGGTTTTCCACCAGGGATGTGGGAGTGGTCCAGGTACCTGGAACATTCCCCACTGCTTTCCCAGGCACATTATCCAAAGCTGGATCAGCAGCAGGGCATCTGGACTGGTATCAGCACTGATAGCAGAAGCTGACGCTACAGGTGGCAGCTCAGCTGGCAGAAGCACAGTGCTGTCCACTTCAGTTCTTGTATACTGGTTGAACACCTGCAGGCAATTTAAAAATTAAAGAGGAGGAGGAGGGAAGGATGATCCAAAATCAGAAACAGTTTAAATGTAAGAATCTTCTTTTGAATGAACCACCAAACAAGGCCCATGCAATCTGACTGAAAATTATGTAGACTGTTCACACATTCTTGAGAAATCATCATTGTCACTCATTAATCCATGAAAGTGCTTTTGCTAGCGGGTACAGTGTCAAAACTTCACACCCATACAATTCTATCCAGTTGCAAAATACTCAATGTGCTGATGACAGTTATAAGAAATGATATTTGATGACCGGTGACCTTTCATTTTGCTACCCATTTGTGTTTATTGTGTATTAAAAAGGATTCAAATCCTGCCCTTGGGAGCTTAAGGACCAGTGGGAGAATGTTAAATAAGCACAAAAAATACTAACCGTGGTTTGGACATTCTATGTAGCCTTGGGGCAAATTGGAGAGAAGAAATTAGTCTCCCAGAAGAAAGAATTAACCCTGAAATAAGCTGTACAGAATAGTATGATTCTTGAGCTAAAAGGTGTACTTTTAAAATATACAATAAATACCAAAGCTTAGGATGGGACACTGACAAATAGGGAAATCATTCAAATATGTTCCAAATGAATTTCTAAGCTGAGGAGCTGGGAAGGCCCTGGCTGTGAGTTCACACTCTTCCCCCAAGTGCTACAATGCTGGAGGGACTCAGAAGAGGCAACAGGTGTTGTTGCTACATGTTCCCCATGCAACCTGCCTGATAAGAATCTGGAATCAACCATGACACATGATTCCTAGCTTTTGAGACCATGCATGGAAGAAAACGACAAAAAGAAAAATGCTACTTAACAAATCTTAGAAGTAGTGGGATTTCCTCCACGAAGGAGTGGTGCTATTCCAACGTAAGCCAATCAACACTTCGAAGGTTTTTTTTTTCTTTTAAACAAAGCACAAGTATGTAGATGTTATCTAATTAATTAAATAGCAGCCTTTTTAGAAAGTGGAGTCACTATTTTGGCTATAGAGTGACATCCAACTTTAATTGTGTATCTCTAAGATGTGTGTGGCTGATCCATCCTCATCTCTGTCATTCAATGGGTGCCCTTCATAAACAAGAGAGCAATCATATTATAAAAGTTAATGAGGGAAGGGATAGATTCAGACATCTTGTGGATGCAGCACAGATAGATTAAGAGAAAATGTCAGGGCTGGCATTTTGGTACAGCAGATAATGCCACCACCTGCGATGCTGGTAACCCATGGGGGCTCTGGTGTACATCCCAGCTGCTCCACTTCCTCTCTAGCTGCCTACTAATGGCCTGGGAAAACAGTAGAAAATGACCCAAATGTTTGGGACCCTGCCACCCATGGGCCAGACCTTTATGAAACCCCTTGTCCTGGCTTCAGCCTGGCTCGGCTCTTGCTGTTGTGGCCTCTTGTGGAGTGAACCAGCAGATTGAAGCTCTCTCTCAAAGATTCTCATTCTCTTGCTTTCTCTCTCTTTCTCTCTTCCCCCTTCTTCCCACCCCGCCGCCGTCTCCTTCTTCTTCCTCTTCTTCTCCTCCCCTTTCTTTCTCTGTAGCTTTGATTTTAATTTTTTTTAAATTCCATGATAACTGGATCTTAAATAATTATATAATATATACATATTTTGCATACATATATACATATATTGCACATAGATACATATATGTATATACATATATTTAATATTTATTTATATTTAACATGTATTTTATATGTATCTATATACATTACTATTTTTACAAAGGTAGTGTTTATATATACACATATACATATATCTACACATGCATATATATGTATGTATATATTAAAAATCAGCCATTTAAGTATTATAAAATCAGTTAAGAACATGGCAAATTGATACATGGGTAGAATTCTCTAAGCCCAAAACAAATACCTTGATACTGAAAGAAGAGAGAGGAGTTAAACAGACTGATCTGTCACCAGCAAACATAATACTGTCATTTGCTAGCTTTTCTTGCCAGGGACAAGTTATTTTGCTTCTCTGAGCCTTTTACCTGTGTTTATATTTCCTTCTAAGGAAACACTCAAATGAGTCATTCCATGTAAAATGTTTAGAGGCGTCCATGAAATAGCAAAGTAAATAAACCTGAGATTTTACTGTTTTTACAAAGGTAGTGTTTTCCCCCTCTCTATTGCACCATATGACCTCACAGAATTTTGACTTAGACTAGAAGACACACAGAAAATCAGGCAAGTGCCTTAGCTTTTGTAGTGTTTTGTAGGGTCACGTGTTTGGTGACCCCTGAGAAGATTTGCTAATACACTTATTTTCCTGTGACTCGCTTTGATCATTTTTGACATTTGTGTAAATTCAGTTACCAAAAATATTTTGACAATTTCAAATTTATAATTCTTCCACACCCTGCAGTTCAAGATTTGAACCATCTAACTGCCTCTTAGATGCCACTCAACACTATGACTTCAACAGAGTCAAAACCAAATTCATCCTGACATTGAAGACCTGCTCCTCAGCTTTCTATGCACAGCACCAATTATGAGGAGGAAAGGGTTGATTCAACAAAGTACATGGCTGACCTGAAAATTTCCAAAATGAAGAACAGCCACTCCGTTCTTCAGTCAGGGATAAATGAAGAGCCATACTTCTCACCTGAAATAGCTAATAAGCCAAAATGAGATGGTCTTTGTTTGTTTTCAATTTATTCATTTATTTTCACTTTATTTTAAAGGTACAATGAGACTTGTTGTATAGGTTCACTTCCAAGTGCCAATAACGGCAAAGACTAGACCAGGTCAAATCCAGGAAGCTGAAACATTTCTCACGTGTGCACCAGAGATTCTAGTACCCATTCTAGGATGCACATTAGCAGGGATATGGATTGGAGACATATGTACAACTCCAATCCAGGCACTTTTGAGGGATGTTGTTGTTCTGAGTGACAGCTTCAACACTGCTTCAACATCTGTCCTGGCAGCCCCGGTGTTAAATCCTAATGTCTTCAGCCTCCTGGCCACAGAGTCAGAGACCTCAAGGTCCATCTGAATCTCCTCCTTACTTCATTACCCACAGCCTTATGTTAGCTCTAAAGATCACCTATCTGCCTTTGAGCTATGAATAAAACCTAAATTCATGTTGAATTCCACTTCCCAGCTTCATATTTTGTCCATTTTTCTACTTGGATTCCAAACCAATCATATGGTCTTTGGCCTTGGCTCATATATCTGGCTACCCAGTAGCCTGATGACCAACCTAGACTGTAAGTCTCTTCAAGTTTCCTCTAATCAAGTGGCAAGAATTCCTCCCCAGGGCCAACAGTGAAAGTTAAAGTTCTGTGTGACCTTACCCTTGCCATCTTTCATACCTTTTATTACAGTCTCTTTTCACTTCACACTTCGGTTTTATAATCATTTCCTAACTCCTACTCATGCACTTAAGAAGATCCCAGACAGCATCAGGAGATTCCAGGGATGGCTCTTTGAAGATTCTCAGAAAGCCATTCCTGGATTGTCCAAACATGGCTAGAGAAAGGCTCCCTGGGCCTGCATGGATCCCTGATATACAACTCTGTCCCTGCACTGCAATGACAGGACACACCCTCTGCTGCCAATGATCAGTCACTCTCTCAATTCAAGGAAAATGTGTGCTAAAGATGTTCAAGCAGAAATAAATCAAATGCCCAGCACAGGATGCATATTGGAAACATGTAGACAACTTCTAAAAATACAGATGCCAAGTAATTCCCTACACAGAGATGGGGAACAGACACTGGGTGCTTAGATGTTTAAAGCTCCTCAGGTGAGAATTACAACAGAGGCTAAGGATCGATTAATTAAGAATCTTGCCTAATATATGTCGGAAACTGATGGAAGTGTTCATGCCTGAAGCACCTTTCGATCATTAAATTCGATGAGATAATGGGTGGTGATTCTGTGCTTACCATTGACTAATTTTCTCAAGAAATCCCTCCATTCATTATAAAGCTTGTCTTGCTTCATGCTCAGGTCGCTAAGTAGATTAGCTCATTAACTGGCATGTGAGTTTATGAATAACCACAGTACACTTTTCAAGAGCATCTCTATAAATATGCATACGTGCTTATAAAAAATATGGTAAGAAAGTAGTGATGAGGGGACGGAAGAAAGGAAAGATCCCACATTCTTTCAGGATGTAATACTAGATACAAAAGTCTTAGGGCAAATATTTGCTCATTCTCTCAAAACCTCACTTGACAATGTCCATTCTTATTTCTCTGTCTATGGTGACATCATGATGGTAGCTAGCTTGTTTTGTTTTATATCTGGGTAGGCTGAAGGCAATGCCACGTACTGATTCCAGATGTGTGCATAATTAGCAGGACTTGCAAATTCTATGTGGAATACGAAAATCCAATTTTGATAATATATTATTAGTGTTTGTGAGAAGACTAAGTAATTTTTAATTTATAATTTTTGCATTAAAGGTGATTTCTAAGAAGAGAAATATTTTTAAAAATCAATGAAAAAGGAAGGAAAATATTTTAAATGACAGAACAAGGATTAGGAAAGAATAGCCTGGAGTCTTAAAGTTCTCAAAACTAATATGCAAACTCTCAGTTTGATTAAAAAAGTTTAATGAACATAAAATAAATACACTTCTGTTAAATAATAAATAAATTATTTACAGCCTGAAAAAATACTTTTTATCTCCATGCATCTTTATGTACAGAAATAAGACTTAACATAAAAAGTGACCATTGAAAGTTTAAAGCCATCAGAATAAACTGGGTCCATGTTCGTACTATCCAGTGAAAAGCAGACCATCCCATCATTCGTGATTGTGATTCGGCAGTGGCTCCAAATCCAATGTCGTGCTAGAAAATAAAATGTAAGACATAAGCTCAGCTCCAACACAGCCTTAAGAAAATCACAAAGAAAAAAAAACGGGAACCAGGTTTCTGCCTTTGTTTTTCTACTTGTGGTTTTAGGATGCTCTATGAGAAAGGCTGAAGTTTTCAGAAACTGTCTCTGGCTTAAATCTCTGCTGCATCCCAGTATGGATCACATGACCACTTAGGTAGAAGACTGTATATGCTCAAATAATTTGCATCAAAATCTAATTTAAAAAATCAGTCATGAGAAGCAGTTTTCCTAACCAAATCTATGTAGTGGACATAATTAAAATGAAAGGTTAAGTGGCTCTGGGTATTTATGATACACAGCTAATTTAGGATAATTAGCACCAAGGGCATAATAGCAGTAGCTACCAGATAATAGGAGGCCACTGTATGCCAGCACAGCATATTCTGCTTCCTAAAGTCATTCTGGGACCTATGTTAAGAAATCTGAATGGCATTAAATAACCAAAAATTCACCTTTCTTCATGTTAACAGCCCTAGATCCAGCCTACTAGACCAATACACTAATAAATTTGATGCATAAATACTAAGCATGGCAATGATGCAGAATATCGTCCATTTCATGAGTTACGGAGCTGATGATTCTCAACATTAGTCCCTGTGGAGTGTTTGCTAAGAACAGAAATCCCTTCTCCCCCCAAAAAGAATACAAATCCCATTCATGGATTTAAACTTGAGCTTAGAAATAAATATATTTCACAAGTTTTTGAGCAACAAATTAGAAGTATAATGAAATAAGAATGCGACACTATCTTTTTCTGAATGTCTGGGAAACAATGTTCTCTCTTCTGACTGACTCAAAGTGTGTTTTCCGTCTCCCCGTCTCCCTCTTCTTTTGGCTGATTTTTTTTTCATTAATTCCTCACTTTCATGAACAACGGAAAGCTCTCTTCAATCTTTTCTACCTTCTTCCTACAGCATGCCCTGCTCTCACTCTACCCAAGCTATTTCTCAAATTCCCGCCAGCCTGACCCTGCTAATACAACTTTGGTTTGGAAGAATATTCAAACCACTGACTCCATGTCTAGTGCAAGTGCCAGAACTCTGATTCTCCACATTGTGAGGTCAACCTATCATTCCAACCTAACACTCATCGAAACAGGGCTGTTTTTCACAAACTTCTAAAATGATCTATTCCACCTCTCAGTATCACCTTTCCTTTGTTAATTGCTTGTCCCAATCTCAGCAGCCATTTGAGCCTCAATTCTAATGCCATCCAGTAATCACAACTCCTTCTGTTCCTGAAACACTCCCCATTAGTCTCTTTTGCTTCACTGGAAACTCTTCATTCTTTATCAGTTCCTTTCTTGTAATGCATCTCCCCTGCCCCACCCAGTTTTCTGCTTTCTTACTTGTTGCTATCAGCTAGTTCTCAAATTCTTTGATTTAGGATCAGCATCTCTATATCCCTTATGAACTGATTAAATGCCTCTCTCCCTTTAGTAAGGAACTCCTCAAATTTAAAGATTAACACTGTAATAACAGCCATTATTTCTATAGTTTCCATAATTTAGAATTCATTCATTTCTTCTTGAGAAAAACGTGCTTCATTTTTCAAAAGCGTAGAATGCTATCTAAAGTTTTGTAAACAAATTCCTACCTGTGTTTTGTCAGTTATGCGATGGCATGTGCATTCCCGTTTTCTTGTCGGAGTTTCTTCCGTTCTTCAGCTTCTCCTGCGTACTCCCTGATGTATCGCTTCCGGAGCCTTTGAGAAAAGACATTCCACTCTCAACAAAGTTCTGGAGTGTTCATGAACTTCAGGGAAAGCCTTGCCAGGAATCTTTAGAGATCATTAAATACCTACACCTGACTCACTGAACCAAAACTTAGGATGTGATATTACTAATACCCTTTTCCTAAGGGGTTATTTAAGTTACATTTCCAGAGGACTGGGATTTACATAAATGCCTTTTGATTCAAATTTTCTGGTGGCAGTTAACGGCCAGAGGTTATTTTCCATCACGCTCAACTGGAGGAAATCATCTGGTATAGTTTTGGCACAGATAAGCTTTATGCTTGTGTAAACTAATTTAAATTGTTAGAAATGTTTTAAAACAGGCTTAAAAAGAACTTTAAAAAGAAAATTTTAAAAGAAATGTAAAATAAAATTAAAAATTTAAAAGAAATCTTTAAAAAGAAATTTTTAGAAATTCTCCTTATTTTTTAAATTTAAATATTTCCTTCCAGTTTGTTATTATCACTTTCTATTTTAACAACCCAGTAGTTTGAAAACTTCTTGATGTATTACTAGCCCTATTTTAGTAGATTTTAACTACTAAATATTATTATTAAAACCATAATAAGTTTCCTTCTATTGTCATAGTCAGAGAAAACAATTCACTTCGGTTATGAAAAGTATCACTCTAGCAACCATGGCTTATGTCGAATGTTTGTTATGAGTATGATGAAAACACAAAGAGAATATGAGAAAAAAATTGAAAAGTCACTTCTTTAAAAGGGCCAACATAACAAACTCTTTTCAAACTTTTGCCAAGGGCTATTAAGTATTTCATGTTAAATCAGCATTTGTGTTCTTTTTCTTTCAATGTTAAGTAATAATATATTTTCCTAAATATATTTGAATATTTGCCTTGAGGTACTAGCAAATCAGAATAAATTCAGTCATTAAAACCACACATTCAACTTTACATGCATGATAAAACATTTTTCATCCTGTCATTTTATCACTATTTCATTTGAATTCAAAATAATAGTAAACAATGGCAGAAAATAACCGCTTGTTTCCTGAATGGTAGCAATAGTGCATCGTGCACATAATCCAGTTTTTAAAATAATTTAATAAGACCTAAACTTAGAATCATGAGTCCAATGCTTTTCCCAAGCTCTAGTAGCACATGAGTCATCCTAGAGACATCCGTGTCCTCCTCCAACTTCCCTTGTTCAGTGACTTCTATTTGACTGACAATGCCATTTGATGTTCCCATCAGTGCCTACTACCTGGTGGGGTCTAGTTCTAACATTCATTGGTCATGAAGTATGTGATCTGTTATTATAAGCATAGGGAAGTCATTATGAGGTAGGACAGTAATGGAATTATCCTTGCTTCCTACACCATGTCTTGTGAGGAACATTATGTTTAAACAATTGAATCCCCATATTACACTTTACCATAACAAAACAGACATAAGCTCTGTGTAAACTTGTACTATACTATATAATTCTTAACTCAGAATTTGCCATTCTAGTATAGGTAGAAGCCATATCTTCTCTTGGCTGCTTATTCAAAGTTCTTTGTTTCAACCCCAAAGCAAAATGTCTGATCCTATACATTTTTACAGGCAAGACTTAGTTACTTGGACACTTACTTATTCTTGCTTATTTAACATTCACGGACAATATCAGTACTTTCTGAGATTCAGAACAACCATCAACAGAAGTAGAAAACAAACATAAAGCCATAAATGTTCATCTTCAACAAATTGCTAGATTTTCTAAGAAAAGGCTTTAATATAAATCTCAATAGTAATTTTTGACCTCTTTGGCAAAGAGGTGTAAATCCATCAACCAAATAGTATAAGTTATCAATAGAATAATTCGTCTAAGATATACTGATTGAAGTATCGTAGAAATACCACAAAAGTTAACATACTTAATATTAAAAATGTTAAGTCATGTCATACTTACTGGACTGTGATAATAACAGCAACAGCTGTGAAGCTCACAGCTGAGACAAAGGCAACAATGGCTGCCACAGCGATTTTGGATAGATCACTGTCCACAATGCTTTGTGTCTTCATGGACTTTTCCCCACACCGTTCACCAAAGTAATCATGCTGACATCTGCAAGTAACCCACAGTTAAAAATCATAATCGCTGGAAACATCGTACACATCTAAGCTTCTCCCCAGCTCTCAGGTAGTTCTTTAGTTCCCACATTAGAAGCTATTCCAGCGATTTGTATTTCAAAATCATGAGATACAGATTGAATTTTCACTGAAGATTAGTACAGAAACAAGTTGGGATTAGTTTGAGTTTCATATTCCAGGAAGACACATCTGGGAATTCTCGGTGTTCCTTTTATGACCAACAAATGTTTCGGTGACTTGCTATGCAAATTAGTCTATTCCACTATAATTTAACGTGCTAGTGGCTTTTTGTCAAAATGAAGAATCTGAGAGGTTATCTGAAAAGTAAATTCAGGTCTTTTTCTTAAAAGAAAGGGTTTTGTAAATAAAAAAGAATAATGAGTTGGTAAAGTGGCTCAATGTGACTAATTGTGAAGGTTTGTCTTGGTTTTGGTTTGGTTTGAGGTTTCTTTGCTTTGTTTTGTTTTCACACGTAATCTGAAAATGAAGAATTTTTGAAAAAAATATTTTTAAAGGCAGTTCAATCATGATTAACTATGTAAGTGCATATTTTAGTTTGGACCATAAAGCTTAAATTATTTACTATCTTGTCCTTCAAGAAAAAGGTAGCTAATTCTTGGTCTATACATTGGAAACCTAACTGGTTTTCCACGGCTAGGGATTTCAGATGCGGTGTTAGAACACAGAATTCTGTGTAACCAAGGAGAACTCACCTGCACGTTACTGTTTTCAGATGCTCGATGTATTTGCATTCTCCATGAATACAGAAGGTTTTGTATTCTGCTTCACAGGGGTTTTTCTTCTTTTTGTTCTTTCTGTCTTTGCCATTTTTACCTCCTTTTTTCTTTTTCTTTGGTTTATCAGAAGTCTTTTCACTTTCTGCTTTGTTTTTCTTGGGTTTAATTACCTGTTCAACTAAAAAAGATAACACACATTAACAACAGTCTCCCTTAATCTTAAATACCATTTTGCGCACCAGAGAAAAAGAAAACATAGCAGGGAGAGCTCATAGGGATAATGGTCATGCTTGTCTCTGTTTGCCACGATACAAGCACAATACATGGACAAAGAAAACAGTGCTTAAAGCCTAACCATCTTCGTGATTTTACTGGCCTACACAAATATTTTGTGTTGATGTATATCTTCAGCATTATTGCTGATAATAGAAAGCATACATGCAACAAAAACTATTAAATATTTTAAACATTTATTGAATATCTAATCCATTAAAAATTTATAATGAACACTAAATTAATGAAACACAAAAAGGAAGTTGTATATATAGTATCCACATGATATACATGAGGAAACTAAAAGTTCAATGCAATAAGTAACTTGTTCCAGGGCAACAAGAAGCTAAGAAATGACAATGTGGGGATGTCAATGCCTGCTATTTCTCCACTGTATTATGTTAACCGTGTTTTCCTTGAAAAAATGTCAAGGGCATTGATCAAAATATATCCAGTAATAGGAAAAAGACAGTTAATGACAAGTTGACTTTCCTTTTGGCATTAAGTAGTACCCTTAATTCCCATCTGTTGATCTTGTGCTCGCAGAGTTGGGAATTAATGCATACTGAGTGTTGGTAGGAAAGCTTTGACTATTGTATGCTAAAGTTCAAGTTTTTCCAACTCCCAGGAATAACAGATTATAATAATCAACACTTTCCAGGGGGCTCATTTCTGTGCTCCATCTATTTGAAATTATGCCCCCAAATTTTTGTGCTTGATGCTTCAGATATTTTCCATGTCTCTTCATATCCACAGAAACTTTCGTTCAGTATTGCAATAATACAAGGTGTAGTACATTCATATGTAAAGATACAAAAGGATGTTTCCATATTAATGTGGTGCATTTTGTTATACTAATTCTTAAAAACCTTTGGAAGAGGACAGAGCATGATGGCTCAATGGCTAAATCCTCGCCTTGTAACTGCTTGGAACCCATATGGGCACCAGTTCATACCCGGCTGCCCCACTTCCCATCTAGCTCCCTGCATGTGGCTTGGGAACACAGTAGGGGATAGTGCAAAACCTTGGGATCCTACACTCAAATGGGAGACCTGGAGGAAGCTCCTGGCTCCCAGCTTCCAATCAGCTCATCTCAAATCATTACAGACATTTGGGGAATGAACCACTGGATGGAAGATCTTTCTCTCAGTGAATCTGCTGTTCCAATACATACACATAATCTTTTAAAAACTCCTTTAAAAGAGAAATGTCATTCATCATAATGGTGAGTCACACAGATGAAATGGAAAATTAAAACCAAAATGCAGGTTCACAAAAATTAGGAAAATGTCAAATCAATATAAATTTTATAGCTATTTAATAAATACCATTCTATAAATTCAAATTTGGAGCCATTTCAATAGGTGTTGGTGCTGTTTCTGTACTGAAACATTTTTCAAATGATGAAAGAACCCAAGAACTCTTAAAGAAATATTTTAAACGAGTATGATGACACATCACAGACAAGTTATACATTCTTGAGAGGAATGAATAAAAAAAGCAGCCACTGTGCTGAAGTGTTTTATAATCATTAACCACATGGACATTAGTTTATCCTCTCAAAAGGATTCAATCGACACACTCATTGCATTTCACAATACATTGCAGATTTGAGTACTACCCTTTGTACCGCAAATAACTTATTTGGCCTGCTGAAATACTAACAATGTGAGATATCTTTAAGAGACAATTTCGAGATACCAGGATGGTTCAATTTCATCCCCTGAAATAATTATAAATAACGTCCTTTCCTCACATAAAAGCAAAAATTCAGAAAGAAGAAAGTTAAATAGATTGTTTTGTTTTGTTTTGTGATACAGTTCCATGGCTCAGGGGTTACCTGTACCCCTCCTCAAGCTCCCACCCCCCCAATGAATGTTTTCCCTCTAATTTTATAATGGGTGTCCTTCATGAACAGTTGTAAGTCCATCATGCCGTTATTAAAGTATTTCCCGACAATGTAGGCATGGACAATGTTAGAGATTTCATTTCAATTCTTTCACTGGGAAATAGGATCTTTTTGAAAGAATTTCCATCTCCATTTACCCAGTTCCTCACACTGTGGCTGTACTTGCTGTCCTCTGCAGTTCTGGGAAGGTGAACAGAAGGGAAAGAGCAGAGCAAATGGAGGCCAGAGGCTTCCAAATCCCAGAAGATGCTCCTAGAACTTTTAGATTTATAGATACTGATGGCCTCTCCTGGCCTCAAGTTCAGAAGTCATATAGCAATGAGCAACATTTTTCTCTTACTTGGGGCACATCTTAAGCAAAAGGTCCTATCAAAAGATGTGATATCAATAAACGTAAAAGGAAAACATGGATTGTTACTGTTTAACTTCTAAACGATGTGTGGGGTTGAACAGTGATTTCAGCAATTTATATCTGTGGATATTTGTTCTTCTTTAATATCTCAGAGAAGGCATCATTTTTTTCGCCATCCGTTTCTCCACACTTGATGCTTATGAGAGTCTGTCCAACTCCTCCTAGCCAATTACTTCCTTCTGTTCCTTGATTTGTGTTAAAATGCAGTTAATGGGCTTACATTGTGGTACAGCTGGTTAAACCACATGCAAAGTGCTTGGCATCTGATTTGAGTACAGGCTTGATCCTGGTCAACCCCCTTCCTAAGAAAGTTCCCGTTCTAATCAACAGTAGATTGCTAAGTGTGAGCCCCTGCTGCCCCATAAGGGAGTTCTGGCCTTGGCTTCAGCCTGGCTGGTGAGGCCATTTGAAGAGCAGATCTCTCTTTGACTTTCTAAGTAACCCTACCTTTCCCTAAATAAATCTTTTTTTTTTTTTAATGCAGTTTATTGGTTAGGATGGTGCTATAAGAGACAGTACAGAACCCAAAATACAAACTAGAGCAGAATGGTTACTATCCACCTGCATCTCTCAGAATGGGAATCATGCAACAGGATCTGGCAGCAAACAGAATGGAGTCTAATCCTGGTTCATCTGCCTGCCACCTGTGTAACATCAGCAAAACGGAGACAGCAAGTCCCTCCTTAACAAAGGTGTGGCGATTAGACATAACAGACATAAAATACTTGTTAGAACTCCAGACACAAGGATGCACCCACATATGGCCATTCTGTGGCATTTTGCCTAGAAGGTATGCAACAGACAACACGCAGAGACACTTGAAAATCTGGGGTGGGGGTCCAGGGAGGGGACAGTTCCTCTAAGAGCTGTGCAGGTTGCTCCTATCATAGCTCTAGCCTGCATTTTCACTTTCTCTACTCACCTCTCACTGCACCGTCTACGATGTAGCCAGACACGTGGGGTTCACCATCATATTCCTCGGGGTAGTCCTCCTCAGCCCCCGAGGACAGGTCCCCAGCGGCAGGCACCTCACTCACAGACGAGACCTCAGTTCCCGAGGACAGCTCAGTCCTTGAAGTCACCGCAAGTCCATCAGCACTGTGGTCTCCTGAAAGCAATTCCCCCCTCCCTGAGGAGGTGTCATTGAGTTCCAGTCCAGTGGTACAGGGACCTGCAGGGGGAAGCCGGAGGGGAAAACAGTGAAGTGGGGTGCGCTTCTCACCTCACTGCTGCTGTGTTGGGTGGACATGTTTAATTTCAGATATCAAAGCAGTTATTGCACATGTGCTAGCTGCTGCTTGTGACTGAGTCACTTAGGAAAGCTACTTTACATTTTACCAACAAGCACACTCAGCTGTTCCAATTACAGAGCTGCTCTTAGCCCGGTTTTCTTTTCCACTGATTGTCTACATTAATTTCCAGATTAATAATAATAATAATAACAACAACAACGATAAATGCCAAACAGGCAAAGCAATGTGACAGAATTACTTGTCAGGAAACGCCTGCAGCATTTGTTAGAATACTACCCTGTCCCATTTCAGGAGATTCTCTGTATAGATATCAGATGATTTTCTAAATATGTGCTCCCATTTTTCAACGCTTACAAAGTATAAAAGCAACGTCAATGATAGTAATAATAATGGCCATTTTATATATGTATGTGTACACACACACACATACACACACACGCATAGATCTATAAATTCCGCGAGACACCGAGAGTCCCTCTAGGAAAGCAAACAGGAAATTGCTAGACTCCAGAGCTGGGAAACTGTACTAGGAAGCAGCAAACGTTCCTGGCTGCAGGATTCCTGGCTCTGACATTGTGGAAACCATTTCACCTCTGTGGACCTCGGGAGGGTTAGGATCAAACTATCTCTAAAGTCCCCATCAGCTGAACCGAAGCCAAAGCACAAGACTTCTCTCTAAGGCAACTCTGTCCTGGACGCCCAGGACACCTGCGACCCCTCTCCTCCTTCCAGGGAGTAACCTCAGCTGGAGCCACGGGGATGGCTGTCTGCGGGACTTAGCAGGGAGCTCCAACGGGCTTTGAGGCAGCGGAGAGGCAAAACTCCAGAAGATAACACTTCTGCCCGCAACGGGAAAAGCGTCCCGCAGGCCAGGGAGCAGCTCTGGGCGGGCAGGTCCTCACCTGAGCCGAGGATCAGCAGCGACAGCAACACCTGCACCACCAGCGGCTGCGGCGGGGCTCTCATTGGTCCCGCGGGGCGGCGGCGTCTCCGTCTCTGGGGCAACTCGGCGGGAGCTAAGAGCAGGAGGAGGAGAAGACGGCACAGGAGAGAGCGGAGAAGAGAGCGCGTGGCTGTGGCCAACGGGCCCGCCCGGCTACTGCGGCGGCTGCAACACCCGGGGCTCCTTGGGGATGGTTCAGCTGCGACTGGGGCGTTGGCACCGAGGTGCGCGAACATTCCTCTGGGCGCCGCGCACCTGCCGCTTTATATGCCCGGCCGGCAGGAGAGGAGCCGGGGCCAGCGACGTCACTGTGTGGGTGGGGATGGGGGCCGCCCTTAAAGTTACTAACCCCGAGCCACGTGCGGGTGGCCCCGCGCCGCACCTCGCTTGTGCGTAACACAGCCCTGGGAGGAAATGGGAGCTAGTTCCTCACTGTCAAGACTGCCGGTGATTTGAAACTTACCTGAAAAAGCCCTACACAACTCAGGTTGAGATTAATGTTATAGGGAGGCTGGGAGTACATACAGAAGCTATGGACCACAACTACTGCTCACTCTGGGTGGCTGCAGTGTTGTTCAGGTGTCTGGGTCCTTTCCACCTCAGAATCTGGGCACCGAGTCCCTGGGGCGTTGTGTGCCTTTCCGTGCCTCTCTCTTACTCTTTCTCAGCCTCCATCGTGTTTGTGTGTATGTGTGTGTGTGTGTGTGTGTGTGTGTGTGTCCCTCTGCCCATCAAATAGGAAAAAAAAAAAAAAAAAAGCAGCAAAGACAATCCACACAGCTGGTAGTAGCAAAAGCCAACCAGCCAACAATTCAGCCTCTTTCCACTCTTATATAGGAATTAAAGGCTAAACTGATCTTGGGAAAGAGGATTTCAAAGGAGCGCCATGCTTAGCCCACCACTGGCATGGCGCCATTTGTGCAGAGTCATGGAATATGCATCTCAAATCATGAGATAAGAGGGGCAGTTCTGAGGACCTGACGTTTAACCGTGACAAGTAGATTTACACGAACCAAGAGGCGAGAGGAGCTGTTTATTGCTGAGGTAATAACTCCCTAACTGGACTTTTCCTGACCTAGGGAGGAGAAACAAGCACTCTTCTGCTTCCTTGTCCCACAGATAGGTATCTCTATCCTGATTGTAAAACAGCCATTTTAGGAATGTGGGCCATAGTGCACCTATTGTAATTCTGGGCTACATTTAAGAGCTTGCTTTTTAAGGATCTATCAAACTGAGTAGGCTGAAATAAACAGGAGTCGGAAATCATGCTTTCTCTGCCATGTGACGTCTGTCGAGTGTGGGATTTGTGTAAGCCACTCGTTGGATTGTTTATAGAGGGGGAGAGCACAAAAGGGGAGACTCTGTGACGACCAACTCCCTTAGCACAGGGATGTGGCACAGACCCAAAGATAAATACATCTCCTCTATAGGCATTGGGGCCACAGAAGGCAAGGAGACCCAAGGACACAGCTGAAGCTTGCCTCTACAGACCATGGAAACAGCTCAGTGCAGAGGTTCCTCCAAGCCGTCCCCAGTGTAAAGCTTAGGTGAAGGAAGCCCTCACGTCAGGATGGACCCCAGAGTGGGAAACTAGGAGCCTGCACACTCATCCTCTTTGGTGGATGAGGCAGTTCTGATTCACAGGGGTTCCGAGACTTGCCCGCAGATTTCGAAAGCTCAGGGTGGTAATTTTGTTGAGAGCGCAAGAGTTGACCAAATGGTTGTATCTTTCTGTCCTCAAAGGCTTCAATTTTGTTCTAGTTCTGTCGTTGCCATTTTATTTTGCAACTTTTAAAATCCCTTTTCTTTTTAATGAGTAAATTTAAAGTGCCTGGGTTAATGGCACATGACGTATTTTGATAGATGTATACATTATAGGTAAGTCAGGCTTTTAACGTTGCCATTTTTTTTCTCTTCTGATTGAGTGTAAGTTGCACAGATCATTAGAAGTGCTGCACTTTCTCTTCTATGTAAAAGTGGGCTCTTTCAGTTAGAAAGTGCTAAGCCTTTTTCCAGTAAGAAAGTTCAGAGTTTTCATTCCATTCCTGTGCAACCTAACTTAGGTCATGGCGACAGAACAGTGAAACCCATCTGAGCTTTTGGACACACATTCCACCAAGAAATGGGCTCCGTATGTGAAGACCCAGAATCCTCATGGGAAAATAGAAAGAAAGCCACCTGCCTGCAATTCGGCAGATCTAATAAAATAAGCTACATAAGCAAATAGCATAGATCTCAGCAATGCTCAGTAAGTGGTAAAATTGTTACTACTTTCAGCATGGTGATAGTCACCGTACAGGAAATACACGGAGGGGCCAAGTGACTCCTCAAAGTGGAGCTACTTACAGAACAAGCAAAGCAATCCCGGTATTTTCACGCCGTGAACTTTGTCTCTACTTCACGTGAAGACTGAGTGTTTTGAGCATTATCTGGTGCACCACAGGGTTGCAGGGGCATCATCAGAATTGCATCACAATGGAGCACTCATTGATGTGTCATGGTCCTCTGTAATACAGGCATGATGGGAAAGTAACCCCTTGTGGAGAGGGGAATTTCACCTTGCTGGGCTGACACGGGAGAAACAGCAAGTGGCAGCTCTAGTTTTTCCTGGCAAGTTAGTCCTCTCCTCACTTATGTATACAACTAAGGCTGGTCCCAATGTCACATGCTGCTAATAAACTACTCATATAGGCTTCTACTGTCTGGAACCTAATAATTCAGAAGTTTTGAGAAAAGAAAATCTCATTATTTGGTTAAAAATTGCATGTTAGGCCAAAGTATGATTATGTGCTTAACCACAGAATTGATTTTGAAATTTTTATAAATAGTTCCTGTGTTAGAGTATCATGAATCAACAAGTGAACACCCAAGCCACAAGTAAGAAATTGTATAGGAAGAGGACATTTCGCATAAAGGTTAACACACTGGTTAAAATGACTGACTCCCACATTGGAGCACATAGGTTTGATTCTAAACTCCAATGCCTGACTTTAGCTTTTCATTATTACAGATCCTGGGAAGTACTAGCAATGGGTCAACTCATTGGATTCCTCATCTACTCATGTGGGAGCCCTAGACTGTGCTGCTTGTTGCTAGACTCAGCCCTGGCCAGCCCTGGAAGTGGCAGCATTTGAGTGGTAAAGCAATACCTTCAAATAATTAAATGTTTAAAGCAGATGTTCTACAATGTACAGATAAAATTCCCTACATTATCAATAAACACTTAGCTTGACTTATACGTTTATAAAATTTTAAAAATGTTTACCTTGAAATTTACCCATGATAAAGTACATGTAATTTCCGGGCACTTCAAGGAGAGATCTTTGCTGAATTTGCCTGCTGTGTACCTTGACATGCAAGAAAAGTGGGGGCAGGTGCTTGGTGCTTCACTAGTTCAGATTCCAGCTGCTCTGCTTCGAATTCACTCCCTGCTGATGGAGAAAGGAAAGCAGTGGAAGAAGGCTCAAGTTCTTGGGCCCCTTCACCCATGGGGGAGGCTTACATGGAATTTCATTCTCTTGGTTTTGGCCTAGCTCAGTTCTATCCAGTTTCTGAAGTTGTTTAGGGAGTGAATTAGCAAATGGAAGACTTCTATCTCTTAAAAATACTGTTATAGGGTCCAGCACTGTGGCCTAGTGGCTAAAGTCCTCACCTTTAACGCCCAGGATCCCATATGGGCACCAGTTCTAATCCCGGCAGCTCCATTTCCCATCCAGCTCCCTGATTGTGGCCTGGGAAAGCAGTCAAGGACAGCCCAAAGCCTTGGGACTCTGCACCTGTGTGGGAGACCCAGAAGAGGTTCCTGGTTCCTGGCTTCGGATCAGCACAGCACTGGCCTTTGCGCTCACTTGGAGAGTGAATCATGGGATGGAAGGTCTTCCTCTCTGTCTCTCCTCCTCTCTGTATATCTGACTTTGTAATAAAAATAAATAAATCTTTAAAAAAATACTGTTATATATATGCACATTATATATATTATAGAATTTTTGTATACTAAATATTATATACTCTATACAATGTCCTTGTGTTTAAGGTGCATACATTTCATTAAAGGAAAACAGCTACAATGTAAGGAAACCATTCAAAACTAAAATAACAAAACCACATTTAGGTAGAACTAATATGAAGGCAATAAAATGATGTGACTTTGGAAAAGCCCTGATGAAAGAGAGCGCCAAGTTCAGGACAACATCTCTACCTTAGCTACTTACAATTTCTCTCTAAAGGAGAAGCATACAGGATAAAATAGAGAAGCGTATCCTTCTGAACAACAGTCAGTGCAGAAGATCAGAGATACAGAAATGGTCACGGGCTGGATGAGGACACGGCCCTGCGAGGAGACGGATCTCAAACTTGGTATCAAAATCATAGAGGGTTTTAGACATTGAATTGGAAACTTTCATTTTAGTGATTGTGCCTTACGCACTGCTGTGTACCCTGACAGCCGAGAGCTTTCCTGGAGTGAGAGGTTGCAGCACAGCGGGCTAAACTTTCAATTGAGATACCTGCATCTCATATCCGACTGTCTGAGTCCCTCCTTGGCTTCTAATCCAGGTGTCTGCTGATACACACCCTAGGAGGCAGCGGATGGTGACACAAGGACGTCATCCATGGAAGCCCTAAAGGAGCTCCTGGCTTCTGGTACAGTCCTGCTACTGCAGCATTTGAGAATGAACCAGAGAATGAGAGATCTCTGTTTCTTACCTTTTCTCTCTGCCTTTCAAATAAATGAAGTCTGAAGAAAAGTTCAAGTAGGAACAGGAAGTACAAATAAGTAAGTAAAAGTGTATACTAAAAATACACCTTAGGGCCTGGAGTCATAGCCTAGTGGTTAAATCCTTGCCTTGTATGCACCAAGATCCCATGTGGGGTCTCATGTCCCAGCTGTTCCATTGCCCATCCAGCTCCCCATGTCCTGGAAAAACAGTAGAGGATGACCCAAAACTTGGGGACCCTGCGCCACGTGGGAGACCCAGAAGTGGTTCCTGGCTTCTGACTTCGGATTGGCTTGTCTCCAGCTATT